AGGAGAAGTCAACAGATGCACCAAAATGTTACCAAAGTCTGCTCTTACCCAGGTGAGCTGACAGGTGAATCTCACTTTATCATAAATAATCTATTAACATAAGTAACGCTCCCTAAACACTAATATAAGGCCAGGTGTGGTGCCATGTGCAAAAACTCACGAGCCAGAATTGGAGAAGTGCAACCAAAAAACAGGCTGCAAGAACGTCTGCGGTTACTTACTGTTAGATAAGCTCAAACAAAGTATGATTTAACAGTGTTTTAATGACATTAGAGGAAAATAAATAAATAAATAAATAAATAAAAAATAAAGAGAAATGGCTAAACACTTGTGATGCTGAAAATGTGTCTGCAGCAGTGGTGGGGGAAGTATTCAGATCCTTTACTGAAGTAAAAATATCAAAATCACATTGTAAAAATATTCTGGTACTAGAATGTCAAGCAGGAAATGTTTTAAGTATTAAAGGTAAAAGTGTTCAGTGAACAAAACGTTAAATACATTTAAATAATTAAAATAACTAAAAGAAAAATTAGCATGAATATGAGATGCTGAAACCATGAAATGTTTTTTAATGAAAAATAACAATTTATATTCTGATCAATCAAATAATCATTTCAGCTGCACTTTTATGTTTTCATATTGTTTGTGTGCAGAAATCTTAATTTGTAAAGCAACTAGTAACTAAAATTAATAGTGGAGTCAAATAATAGTAATTGAAGAATAATAATAGTAGTGGAGTAACAGTAAAATATTTCCTTATGAAGTGTACAGGAGTAGAGCTAGAGACTTGCATTAAAATACTCAAGCAAAGAAAACGTAAACTTTGGTACAGTACTTGAGTAAATGTACTTGGTTGCATTCCAGCACTGGTCAGCAGAGGGACGCAGTAAGTCGAATTTCTTCAGCCCACAAATTTAATCCAGTCCCTGAATCTTCAACAGGAGGTCCTCAGAGTTACTGCAGAGGGGCCGCTAAATTCTTGTTTGATAATTCAATTAGGTTTTAAGTTTGCTTTTTTTTCAAAAATTAAAATATATCTGAAAATACAAATTATAATACAAACATTTAATTTACAGGACACAATGTAAATGATAGGCTAATTGTTACCCATGAATCCTTGCGCAAATATGCAGCACCTGTCCACAGTGAGAACAAACATACTGGCCAAGTATCTGTATTATTATTCCAGGTGTACGGACATTCTTGTGAGACACAACAGATTGTTTTATACCTTGTCGAGCGAGAGACTCTGACACACTGTCCACCTGAGAGCTCATCAGAAGAGCAGAGGGTGAAGTTTATGCACCGAGTCATGCTACAACAGCTGCTGACTGAGCTGCTACAGGCGAGGACATATGAGAGAAAACCCAAAATATTCAGAGAATTTTCTCAAATTTGATGATGTTCATGCAATCTTTTTAAGTGCCTCAAACAAAGTTGTGTTTCCTCATGTAGGACAAACTATTTGTGGACTGCGAAAATGAGACGTTTTTATTTATCTTTGTAAAAGTGCTCTTGACCACTTATAAAGTTTTCTGACCTAGAAGAGCAAAAATAAGAGAAACACTAACAAAATAAGGTGAATTGTGGATACGAGCAAAAGTTAGAGAAAATTTGTTTGTCTTTGGCTTCCTGCATGAGACTATATGTTAAACCTCACAACAGTATGTTGAGAAGTTAAACTTGGCTCTACCTTTACAGCTCTTTCAGGTTCTTTATATCATCTAATATCAATATAGAGACACATTTTAGTGTCCCGAGCTTCCAAACCACATCTCAGCAGCAGCTGATGGTCTGATCAAATCCATTAAAGTCCAGTATGAGCAGATTAATATCAGTCAGGAAGCAAAGGCAACATTTCTTTTCTTTTTTTTCTGACCCAGATGATAAAATTTCTATATCTGTGGCAGAGACAGAGCTGTGTTCAGTTACTTAACCTTTAAGAAATCAGGACAACAAAACAGTTTGTTTCTGTATTTATGATCCAAACAAAGACAAAGAAAAGTCATACTTGTAAAACATGCAAGAAAAATGCAGCAAACACAACACTGATAGATCACAAGAGAGTTAAAGAGAGGGACAGAAAAATGGAAGTTCAACGTCAGAAATCCACCAACTGATACCAGACAATGACTGATATTAAAAGAATGAATCCAAATTACAACTGATCCTGTAGTTTTACAGTAAAGACCCAAATGTGTTTGTAACAGCAACAACATGTTTGCTCAGATTTTCCATTGCATCTCTTCATTTTTACTTTAAATCTCTTTTAATTTACCTGATAATTATGATATAATTACATGTTTTAATGGGATTTTAACAATCCTTACAATTACCCAAATAAAATCAGAACCATTCATTTATTTCTCTCTAAAAAGGCGCCTTATTATTTTTTATAACCATTTCAATTAAAGTGAAAATACAGGGGTGGCCTCTCTGTGGTATTTGGTTAACCATAAGGAGTTATTACCACTAACAGCTGAGGTGATAATCAATTAAAAAATGACTGAAAATCAATTTAGTTTTATGGTACAAACTGTGGGCTTCCTGTAGTTTTACGTTTAGTTGTTTTTATTTTTCAAACATAATCTTGGTTAAGTTGAGAATTGATGTTTGGCCTTTACAGAGATCAGAAAACATTTGAACATCTTTAATAAGATGGGAAATCAGTCGAACGATGTATTTGTGCTAATCAGGAAGCAGCAGGTTTTGTTTCCGCCTGTGCAGCGCCCCCTCTTCACTCAGAGGCAGGGCGCATCAAATGTCACGTTATGTGAAACCCTGATCGGCAAAGTCTGACAGATCACACGACATGAGAAGACAAACACTGACGTTATTCCTCAGAATCTGATCAGCGCGAGCTTTTCACACGTCGTTTCCAGAAGAATTAAAAATAAAAAGACGACAACATGACAAACGAGCACAAACAGAAAATCTCATGAAGAACAAGCAGCATGTAATGCTTTAGAAAAAAGTATGTACAATAAAAATAAGACTGATTCAAAAGCAGCTCTAAAGGCAAAGTTATAAAAAAAAATCAGCACCACCGTTTTTGAACTAGTAAACATGCAATTTACAAAACTTGATGTAACGATAATTTCATTATCGCCACATCAGAGCTGGATGTTTAAGAAAAGAGCAGAAAAAATGTCAAAGTTTTAAAAAGGCAAATTTAATACTTCTGTGTTGTTTCCTGCAGTTGAGTTTAAAGGAACAGTGTGTTAGATTTAGGGGGATTTAGTGGCATCTAGTGGTGAGGACTGCAGACTGCAACCAGCTGAAACTTCTCCTGGTTAGTCAGTGTTCATAGTTCAGTAAGTTTTAACCTGGAGCTGAATTATCCACAGAGGTCTCTTTCTCCCAAACACTAACAGACCGGCTCATTTTAACCGGTAAGAACACTGAATAATGAAGTTTCACATTAAAAATCAGTGTTTCTCTGTAGCTGCCTGTTGTGGAAAAACTTCTTATTACACTGGCTGACGCAAAAGGAATGTAGATTGGCGCACAATGGAAAATCAGTACAATTTTAAATTAATTGATGGAACAACCAGGCTTCGGTTTATCGCTAACATCCGACACCAAGGAATTTAACAGTCCCAACAAACTCACACTGACACCAAAACAGCTCGACTCTGTTGTTAAACCCGTTAATAACCGTTGGGTAACTTTAGCTGTGTGGTGCCAATGGGAAAGCTGGATTTATACTTCTGCAGAGCCTATGCCGTAGCCTTACGTGCACATCCCTAGAAATGTAACTACATGTCGCAGTGACGCAGACCTCCTGTCTATTTTGTAAGCTCAAACCATTTCCCTCAGTGGAAACAAAGCTTTTATTTAGCCTTTTTTTATTTCACAGATAAGAAACAAATTGTGAAGACAATAAAGCCTCCACAAAAATAGTATTTTAAGTCTTTTGTGTGTTTTATCCTGGCTTCAGATGAACAGAGGAAATCTCTGCTAGCCACCAGGCTAATTTATACAATGTAAAATGCCATAGGCTTGTGCTAATAATGTTAGCATGTTGTATTTGTGGGGAAAATGTGTCCAGATAAAGACAAGTGTTTGTCTGTGAATGCTGTGAGTTATAGTGAAGCTGATTTGTGTTTGAAATTGCTGCTATTAAGCCATGTGTAATGTGTGTTTAATGTGTGTTTGTGTTTAATACGTGTTTAATGTGTGTGTTTAATGCGTGTTTAATGTGTTTGTGTGTCTAATGTGTGTTTAATGTGTGTTTGTGTGTCTAATGTGTGTTTAATGTGTTTGTGTATTTAATGCGTGTTTAATGTGTTAAATGTGTGTTCAATGCGTTTAATGTTTGTGTTTAATGCATGTTTAATGTGTGTTAAATGTGTGTTCAATGCGTGTTTAATGTTTGTGTGTTTAATGTGTGTTTAATGTGTGTTTATTGTGTGTGCACTTCACAGAAACCTGTGTCACCGACTAGTGTTTTGGAGGTGTAACTGCAGAGTGACACAGACACACCACTGCAGTATAAATGCTCATAATGGCGTAGGCTCTGCATAGAGCTGATGCACAAGTATAAATCAGCCTTCAGCCCTGACGTTCTGTGTGTGTGTGTGTGTGTGTGTGTGTGCAGGCAGACTCTCACCAGCTGTTCCCCAGTGTGGAGCTCACACTCCCGCAGCAGTTGTCTTGTGATAAACAGAGAGAGCGATAGCGGGGCAAAGAGACGCTGAGCGAAGCAAAACACTGCTCGCAGCTCTACATTAAAATAAGTTCATACCCATTTTAAATACTAAAATATATATGTATATAAAAGTCATGTTCAAATGTGGGAGGGGCGGCAGCTAGTATTCTATACTTTGAGCGAATACTGACGTCCAAACGAGCACTCACGCCCAACCTGAGAAGAAACATGGCAGTGCAACACGGCAGACTCGGTAGATGAGGACCTGCTCCTTATGTAGATATAAAAGGCTCATTCTAAGGTAACAAAAACACAACAATCCTTATTTTCAGGTGATTATACACTAAAGAAAACATACTTATTATATTTCTGCCAATAAATCCCCCTGAATCCTTCACACTGGACCTTTAAAAGGGATGAGGTTTGCTTTGGCCGCTTTCAGCTTCATTAGTGAGTAAGATGAGAAAAGCTTTAAACTGTAAATGTGCTGCATGAGAACAGAAAGATTAACAGGCAGCCACAATCTCTAAAACACCTCTCCTCCTCCTCCTCCTCCTCCTGCACTAACTCTCTGTGGGGAGGAGGTGCACATGGTGGCTGACAGCCTGCTCCATGGAGCTTTTGAAGGCCTGGTATGAGGAGGAAACAGGCAGGAGGAGGTGTCTGGAGCTGGGCACACACTGAGGAAAGAGCCCCTCGTCCCTCCTTGTTCTGACTCCCTCTCTCTCTTCTTCTCTCTCCTCCACAGGATGGAGGAAGGAGATGGAGGGAGAAGGGAGAAGGCTGGCTGCAGGGAGCTCCTCAGCTCCTGTGGCGAAATGAAGAAGGTCCTGCAGGGAGATGGAGCTTCTCCCAACTGCGGAGAGGAGAGGAGAGAAATTCAGTACAGGGTCTTGTGGTCAAGAATGGACTTATCTAGAGCCAGTGTTTGGTTTGCCCGTACCTTCACACTCCCGCAGGAAGTGTCTCCAGAAGCTGATGACGGGTGTCTCTCTGCTCAGTCTCTCCTCCTGCTGAGAGAAGTTCACGGTGAAGATCTGACCGACCGTCTGAGCCGTGAGCCGATCCGCCGCCTCACAGAAAACACTGCAGAACAACGACGGGAAGAGCTGAACCTGGATCAGATCAAAGGTTTGTCATTCTGATGAACCTTCGAACAAACACTGTGTTAATACAAGCAAACTGAAATTACCTGATCAAAGACGCCCAGAGTCTGCAGGCCCTCCCGAAACCTGCAGGACAAACACAAACACAGATATTACAGTGAGTGGAGAGAATACTGACCCTCTGCGGCTTGTTTCATTTCTTTGAAGTCACTGTTTCAACATACGGTGTCGCAGACTGTGTCATTTTCAACATTTTGGAGCTTAACTTCTGGCACATTAGTGGGATAAGAAGAGGAGAAATAAATGATAATAAATTACAGCAAAACCCTAAAATGCACAGATAAAAGAGCCGGTAACATCTGAGCTTATCGATACTACAGCCTTTAATAATGTAGCCAAGGCTCATGAGTTGCGTCTGTAGCCCCTCCACAACACAAGCATCAGAAAAAGACTGATTTGTAATGAGGACAGGGTTGGAAATGACCTTTTTTTGTCCACCTGTCACTGGAGCTGCTCATCATCTGAGCTTCAGTCCATTAACTATACTGTGAATAACTCATACTGAACCTTCAGCATCACACCAGCGTCTGTTCTTTTATCTGCCTCCATAAAAACACTGAACGTCTCTCTCTACCTCTGCAGTGGCAGCTGCATCCTGGTGATCATAGTGAAGCTGACCAGATCCTCCACCAGAGCCTCTCTCTCCTCCAGGCTGCTGATTGGTCGGTTGCAGCCAGCCAGCTCCAGGTACTCCCAGCTTGCTGCCATCACTCCTCTCAGGTCGTCTAAAGACTGCGCCTCTGCGATCTGAAATCAGCCAGTCAATCACTCGACCTGCGATTGTAAAGACATCTGTAATGACACATGAAGTTTACCAACAAAGTCGTCCCACTCACCCTGCTGACTCTGTGGGTGAAGTGCATGTCGGGGGTCATGTGAGTGATGGCGAGCGGCCGGTTGGCTGGGTAGTTGAACAGACACTGGTAGAGAGCGCGAGAGAAGAAGCCGACAGGAGGGCCGCCGTGAGCCAGAGACAGAGCCAGCAGGCAGCCGACATCAAAGTACAGGTCCTCTCTCAGAGCTGGAGACACACAGAGCTGAGTTACCTGCAGGTTCATGTACACTAGGATGATAACAGGTGTGTGTGTGTGTGTGTGTGTGTGTGTGAAAGAGAGAGGACTCCTCTGTATCTCTGATTAAGATTTTATAGGAGCAGTGTGTAAGATTTAGGGGGATTTAGTGGCATCTAGTAATTGAGATTGCAAACTGCAACTAGCTCAAACTTCTCCTGGTAAGAATTCTGTCAGCGTTCATTGTTAAGGACGTTTTTACCGGGAGCTGGATCACCCACAGAAGTCTCTTCCTCTCCAAAACAAACGGTAAAAGCAGTGAAAAAAACTGTTTCACCTTAAAAAATCAATGTGTTTCCGACACTGCCCACGGACATATTTAGTGCAATATGTTCCATCTCTGCCAATAGATCCCCCTGAAGCGGACACACCTGATAAATAAATGACTGTGACATAAACAAAGAATAAAATAATGATTTGTACCCTGAGAGTCCAGCGCCATGTTTTTGGATCCATCTGGACCCTCAAACACCACACAGTCCTGGATCTGCTGCACCAGCAGCTTCAGGAAGTACTGCCTGGCTGTGTCACTGTCCTGGAGACTGCTGGGAAATGTGGTCTGCTGGTCATCGTTAAACCTGGACGGTGACAACAAGAAGAGACAATATACACTGTTTGTAGAAGTGCATATTTTGATCAGATGTTGATTTTACCAACAATTAAATTGAGAAAATAAGAGGTGATTTTATGATCCACTCACCTGACAGACAGAGTGTGTGTGGGGTCAAAGTCGGCCCTCCTCACCAGCTCTAAACCCGCAGACAGAGCCTGATCCCCGTCCACCTCCACCTGCACACTGTCGGGACGGAGCTGAGGGCGCAACGCCTGCAGGATCTCCTCAGGTGATTCAGATCTAACAGGTAACGACGGTCTAAAACAGAGAGACAGAGAGGTTTCATGTGACTGTTTATTAAATGTAAAGGAGCATTCAGGCTATTCTGTATGTTTTAGTCCATGAACCTCTGATGAAACAGCTCGCAGAGCGTTGTGTGATCCCACATATTCAATGTGTCCTGTCGAAAAACTGGGCTCTGAGGAGGGACGTGTCACGATAGCCAATAGAATGTAGTAGCCAACCTGACTTCACATGACTAGTGTTAATTGATCCAGGTGGAAGATGCAAAAAAATGTGTCAGACAGGTTTGTGTACCTCTTACAGCTGATGGAGGAGCGGATGGGTGACAGGTAGCGTTTGGACAGCAGACTCCTCCTCTGACATCCCTGAGGAGACGCAACGAGGGAGGCTGGAGAAGACGAGCACATGGTTCACATTAACAAACAGCTGCAGCATAGTAACAACAACATCTGTAACAAAATGAACAATAATTGTAAATCCAGCGGGAAATAAACAGCCCCAAAATACACCAAATACAGTTCTTGAGCCGTTCCTTTTCCCACCACAGACAGAAAGTTACGTCATTCCTGCAGATCGTAATTAAAACCAAGACATGAGACGGTGCATCATAGACTCAGACCTTTCCCGTCAGTAGCCTGCGTGCAGTCGCTGCAGGCCCAGCCCCTGGTGTCCACCTTCAGCCCCGAACATTTCCTGTGAGTCCCTCTGGAGCCACACAGCCGGCAGCGAATCACCTCAAACCAGCTGAAACAAACAACAACAGGGTCACAAACTGAGCGCTCTGCAGGTGGGACTGAGAGGAAACACAAAAATCAATTTATTGTGTCAGTCTGACAGTCGGACTTTTAAAATATGCGCCAACATGTTAGTCTGACTAAAATCTACATCCAGAGCTGTGACTTTTTGGACAGACCAAATGTACAAATACAATGTAAAAAAGTGTCAGTTTCTTTCTGGTATTTCCAACATGAATCATCAGTTAATAAACCCATCCTATGCAGCCTGGCTGATGTCCAGTAGTATCTGTGTATTATTTTATACTGGGTAAATTTGCTCTTGGATTCTCTGGACATATTTACCACTGTCAGAATTTTTAACCACTGCTCTTCATCCAGAGTAATCTTGTTCAGTTATTTAATAAACTCCAGTTTGACATTGTACCTTGTGTCCATCTGTGTTAACATTGTGGATGAAACAGTAACATAAGAAGATAAATACCCGCTCTTGGCGGAGTGCATCCGTCCGTCGTTGCAGACGCAGTTGAGAGCATCACAGCGACTGTAAACCTCCAGCAGCTCTGAATAAGCGTTTGCCTCCAACTCCCATGAGGCATCTCTGCAGAGAAGAACAAACAGTGAATTAGAACACAGACTTTTCTTTCATTCTACCCACAATCCCCTGTCCTCTGTGGTTCCTGTTGAGTTCAGGTGTGGTGAGAACACGCTGGCTGTGAAAGCCTCGTCATGTGCTAATGATCATGTTACCTCTCTGGGATGTAGATTCCCATCCTCAGCATCTCCTCCTGGAAGCTCTCCTTGTTGTTACAGAGAGTACATCTGAAGAAGAAGAGGCCGGCGTTGTGGGCCTGATGCTGACACATACACACACACAAACACAGACAGGTAAATGTGGAGCACACCTGGAAATATGATACTAAATAAATCAGAATGCTGTTGATGCTGGTGGAGGTTTAAATGGTCAGTTCGTCCAAATCCAAAAATTATATTTTACCATTTAAAGCTGAGGTAGGCAGTTCAATTTTGGAGTGTTTTTTAATTATTTGATTGCAACAAATTATTACTATACACACGACTCAATGCTGCAGCGTGACGTGGAAAACATGATTTTTTTTGTGTGTATTTTGGGTTAACGAGAGTGACAGTACCTGCACACAGTCCCTGTGGAACCAGCTGGCGTGGCAGGACGGACATTTGAGGACGGAGTAGCTGAGGACAGGATCGATGGAGTCCAAACAGATGGAGCAGGACTGAGGCAGACTGAGGTCTGAACTCACACATAGTGACTGAGTGGGACTGTGATCCGGACAGTACGACCTGAACACAGACAGACAGACAGACCACATGAACCTTCTCTGAATGTCTTATACTCGGTGTCCAGTTTATTAGGTACAAACTGATAAACAATCAAAACATCGTTCCTGTAATAAATCCTCCGTCATGAAGGTGTTCACTGTGGAGGTTGTAGGTCGGGTTTGAACTGTATTGTGAACACAGAGAGGTGTGTCTGTTATTTAGTCCACCCTCACTGATATAAATGTGACAGTTAGAGCAGCGAACAGCATCTCTTCTTTGTATAATGTTACCCTGTCTTCCTCCTGCTGCATTTAGAGGTGTTAACGTGTGTGTGAAGTGACAACATGCCAGTGACGATGCAGGAAACAGTGAATGAGTGAATAAAGGAGGTGAGAGTTCATCAGAGAAATGCTCTTTTCTCAAATACATGTTGAACTGGAGCACCCTCCATGAGACACGATGAACCACGAGGCCTTATTAATAAAGTTACAGAGTTGAATGTGCAGTCGGCACTCACGGGAAGAGTCCAGTGAACTGAGAGACGAACTGGTTTTTCCTGGCGCAGGGAAAGTGAGCCACCTTCCTGCAGCTTCTGACGTAGCAGCCGACACACGCTCCCTTCCCCTTACAGAAACTACACGTCTGAAACACACACAGTAAACATACGATAAACGCACAGCAAGCACACAATAGACACAAAATAAACACACAGTAAGGATAAAACATGATGTGTTTTAGTCTCTCACCAGTCGAGCCGACCGGCGGCACTCCTGTTTGATGTCGTCCACCAGGAAACCAAAGACGCCCTCGCCCTCTTCTCCACGCTGGTAAACTCCACAAGACGTCAGCTGAGACACAACACACGTGGATGATGTCACATATCACAGTATGAAAATCAGACATCTGACAAGAAATCCATCAGAAGCTGTTAATACCTCGTGAATATGAACAGGGCTGTGTGTGGAACCTCCAGTGAATCATTTTAAACATTATTTTGTTAAAACAAAGTTCTTCGACAAACCTCTGTCAGACAACATGAAACAGTGACACGGCTAAGAGGTCTGCATGATTTTCTTGCATTAAATATAAATTTTCCTCCTGAAAACGCAGCACGAAATATGAAGCACATTAAAAAATATTTCAAAAATAACTTCAACCACTGCATCCATACACAGAGGTCCGTTAGTCAGTGAACTAATGAAACCAGTTCACCGATGGAGGCCTCATGGAAACAAATTTAAGATCCAAAAGAAGTACTTAAGGAAAAACTAGGGTTGCTCACAAGTAAAATAATTCTCCATGAGTCCTGCAGATCTCGAAGAACGCTGACAGCTTGATGATTCATGAGAAACTGTAACTTCTTTAAAACACACCAACACACAAACTTACCAAACAGAAGTAGTGGACAGAGAATTTGTGCTCCTTGAGAGTGACTTTCTCCCCAAACATGACCGGGTCATCATCGCTGAGCCTGCAGAGCACACAACCTGGGGACACACATATTTATAATCATGTCATTTATCAACAACCATATTGTCCACATCCGTAAAAACTTTGCCTAGCTGTATTTATTGGTACAAACACAGCAGGACAACTTGTCATATGCTGTAAATCCCTCTGAAACAAATTGTGATTTAGGCCTAAATAAATAAAACTGAACTGAATTATTAAACTGAACGTAAATATCAGGATGTAGATCACTCACACTCCTCCTTGTTGCTGCCGGCTCCTGCGACCTGCGTCATCCTCGCTTTCTTCTTCATGTTGGTGTGATGCGACCCTGCAGGCACACAAGCACACACCGGGCTGTCAGAGATCAAATCTACTGAGATTTATATATCTTATAGGGCTGCAACTAACAATTATTTACATTGTCGACTAATCTGTCGATTATTTCTTCGATTAGTCGACAAATCATTTTATCGAAAAATGTGTTAAATTGTTGAAAAATGTCCGTCTGTCTCTCCTAAACCCCAAAATGATGTCATCTAATGTCTTGTTTCGTACTCACACCAAAGGGTTTTAGTTCACCGTCATGGGAGAGTGTGTAAAGCTGCCAATATCTGAATGTAAGAAGCTGCAGTAAGAGTATTTTGGGGTACTTTATAGTACTTTTCTATGAAAAATGACTCAAACAGATTAGTCGACTACCAAAATAGTCACCGATTAGTCGACTAATCGTTGCAGCCCTAATATCTTATATAGCTTTATGTATCTTTTATATATCTATATACATACATATCATGAAGTAAAAATTTGACATGTAGACACAACATTTTAAGGCTGCAACTACTGATTATTTCTATCGAATAAACTGTTGATTATTGTCTTGATTAATCACTTAATCATTGGTCTATAAAATATCAAACAACGGTGAAAAATGTCCAAATGTCCAAGGCCATGTCTTAAAATGTACTTTTTTGGTCAAGAAGTCTAAACCAATCAATATTCAGATTAATATCATAGAAGCAGAGTAAATAAATACAATAAACCAGCAATGATTGACATTTAAACGCCGAAACAAAAGGATTGGGCACTTTTCTTTTTTAGAAATATTCTGAGAAGGATTCATCGATTATCAGAACAGTTTACTGAATCAACTGGACCGTAGTTAATTACTATAAATGTTTTAAAAACTAAGAGCTGCGATACTCTCACTAAACTAAGCTAGCAGTGTTGTGTGAATGAGCCGAGTGACGGTAAAAAACGGTTACCGTCGAATATATCATCAAAACATCTTCAACAAGTCGCTAGCTAACACACATATTTCATAAATATATCTAATCGATGTATACAGAGTATTAAGATCTAGAAGGTGCAGACACACATTAGATTAAAGTGATTTTTTTAAAGAGTCTCAAACAGGAAAGTGAGGTTCAAACGTTCCGACATGAAAATAAGACCCGGGTTATCTTCAGCGGGTTTAAAGTCAAACATAAAACATGACGAAATGTTCATAAGAGACATACTTTACATTCAGGGGTGACAAATGTCAGACTGCGGACATTTTCGTGTCGTTTTCGGGAGGATTTATTCCGGCTGTTTGTGTTTACTTCTGATTAGCCGTAGAAATTTAAATTTCCCTCTTTCAAAACAAAAGGGCGTCACTTCCGCTTCCGCTTAGTCTTCTTCTTCTACGGGATTACTGCGCTTTGTATCCGGCACAGCTTCAGCGCCCCCTCTGTTAAAGGACCAGCAGTACAAGTGTCTTACACAGCAGGTATCAGCTCAGTGAAGTCTGAAACCCTTTTTAGATAGGAGTTGTGCAGATTTGCAGGAAAGCCCAGTCAGTCTTTTTCCAGCATTTTGTCCTTCACGACTTCTCAAGTCACAGCCGTCACTTTGACCGATAGGAACACAGAGATATCTGCTGCCGTAGACAACTGCACGACAACAACACCCCAGGCTTTTTCCATATTTCCTGTGGGGACGTTACCACACAGAGTAAAAAGGAAAAATGATGGTGTGAAGGCCGTATCCATTTAATTTATATGCTAAGCTGTGCAATAGCTATACTCCCATCAGCCATTCAGTCTGTCTCAAGTATATTCTGCTTCTTTATGCTGCTTATCCATTATATTGCTTTATGTTTTTAAACAGTTTACTTATTAAACTGATCTGTGCGTTTCTTTTTACCAATACGGACTTATACATTGCTTTGTTTTAGTTCTCTACTGGTGCTTTGCCCTCTCCCTCTGCAGCTGGAATGCTGCAAATCTCCCCACTGTGCAATGCACAAAGCATTATTTTTATTCAATTCAATTTTATTTATAAAGCCCAACATCACAAATCACAATTTGCCCCAGAGGGATTTACAGCATGTCCTTTGGTCCCTCACAGCGGATCAGGAAAAAATGGTAGAAACCTCAGGAAGAGACACTGAGATGTCACGTGCACAGAGCAGATCAACTTAAATTATCATTATAAATATATAAACCATCTTATAATGTGTTTTCTTTTGCACATTGTCTTGATGCTTTTGATGTCTCTTTACAGCACTTTGAACTGCCTTGTTGCTGAAATGTGCTTTATAATAAACTTCAGTGATCGTGAGTCAGTTTGCACAAACATGGCGGACACGCTCCACATCCGTTGCTATGGAGACGGGATACAAACACACACCGGCGACTGCTGCAGCCTGAACAGCTCCGACATCTGTCAAGATATTTTCTCACTCCCCACAGGTGGGTTTGACTTATTTTACTTTACACACAGAGCCGTTAAAGCCCCGACAGACGTCACACGTTTTAGGGGTTTGATTTATTTTAACAGTAAATGTTATTATTTTACAGTCTATGGTCACAACACAGGTAAACCTCGTAGCACAGTGGTTGCCAGTTCTGAGTTTTATTTTTATCTATTTAACCTTTATTGAGCCAGGGGTCAAGATGGCGGCACAACCATGATATCCATACACATGACATCCAGGTCCAGGGATATATAAAACACAGCAGGCTACAGACTACATCCTTGTGATGTGCCCTGCTGTTGTTTGTCCTGAGATGTCCACAGTCCGCTAGAAGCTGCTGCTGCACTGACAGGGCTAACTGTTAGCATCACACGGCTAACATTAGCTAAGGGTTAATAACGGGTTAAGGACAGAGTCGGTGTCGGTGGGAGTTTGTTGGGACCATTTGGGTGTTGGACATTAGCCGCTGCTGCTGTGTTAGCTCGTGCTAACCCGTTAACCGGTAGAAAAGTGGCTCCGGAGACGGTCCTCCGGCGCTGCGCTCGAGCTAAAAACGTTAGCAAACTTTAGCTCACCAGTGAAGAAGAAAAGCGGCCCCCTCGGTGTGGCCTCTCCGCGGGAGGGAGCTGAAGTCCTCCCGGTCCTGCTCCTCCTTCTGTCACCGAGCTCAGACTTGGTGCCGAAGTTCAACAGGTGTTTCCACCATCACTCAGACATTTTACGTTTTTTTTTTTCCCACGCTAACTGGCAATTAGTCTAATTGATGACGACACCGAGATACCACAGGACACCATCCCTACGTTCCAAATCGCATACTTCTACTATATACTTTTAGTATGTACTGCAGCTGCCCTTAAAAGTAGCCTATGTAGTGTAGTATGCAGTATGCATACTATTGGGACACACTACATCCACCATCTCATCGCTCCCTGAACTATGACCCTCTTGCTCACTTCTGCCGCACTATATTCTGTCTGCATGTGAAGCAGCCTTACATTCACATTACTTTAATTTGTAGTGTAACATACTTGCACATTCTTACTACATTACTTAATATGTATTTGACTTTTACTATTTATATATTTACTAGTCTATACTGCTCATACCTGGCCCATAGTGTATTCATATTTAGTCATATTCATTCATTATTTATACCACACTTACACCACTGCCTTTACTGGTAGAATCTTCTATATTGTAGTCATAGTTGAACCCTAACATTGATTATACTATAATCACAATAAAGTTGAATGTTTTAACTGTGTTCTTGCAAAACTGTATGATATGTGACAGTATATAATCAGATCATTGCAGTCCTAATATGTAGTGTCTTAGTATCTCAAATTAAATAAACCATGTATGAAAGGAAGTGTGGGCGTTTGTTGTACATGCAGCTCAGTCAGTGTGACGTAACTTCCGCTGCGCAAAGGTTTGTGGGTCAGAATGGCCAAAGAAGCATGCTGACATGCATACTGCGAAATATGGCCGGATGTAGTAGAACATCCTGGTACTTTTGGCATACTGCATCTGACATACTATGTATTGGGACGCACTAATTCTTTTTCTGGCATACTAAATAGTATGGTAGTATGGGTATTGGAACGCAGGGCATGAGTCGTTATACTGTTGGCTCACAGGCTTTGTTAGCATCAGAAACCGAAGGTCAGTTAAAACGTCAGTTACAAAAATCGTTTTGGATCCGACAAAAGTTTTTAAATTATATATATATATATATATACACACATACGTGTAACACAAACAGAACTGTGTAGTACAGTAATTTAGAGTAAGTGCTACAGAAAATATACTCTGCCGCAGTACGAAAATCACACGAGACTGATGCCATTAACGATGGCTCAGTTCCATTTAGTGTGCCAGCTAGCTACTCCAGCCAGCATGGACAACACCAGGTCCTCCCCTAATTGGAATGCAGCCACCGTTAATGTTATTAAATACACTACTGTGACAAGTTAAAATGTCAGCCGCGAAAAAGGCCCATTACTTAGCCTGAGTGTCAGACTGAAGCTCCCAGAACCTTCAGTCTGACATGGCTTCCATTGAAGGCGATTTACAAGGGGGAGGGAATTTGATTTTTCCCTAACCAATCAGTAGAGATCAACAACTCACCCAGAATCTGACGTCATTAGTATCCATACCTCGGGAATGCCGAAAACAAGCGAGCATTGCCCGTTTAAAATGTCTCCGTTGTCGTGCACGCCCAGCTGCATCGCAGTTAAATCCAGTTTAGCAGCTTCCTTAATTTGGTCCTCCATTAACGCGAGTAGTGGCGAAATACCTCGATAGCATCGCTAATGTGGTCTGTAGGATCTGTAGCGGTCGCCATTGTTGCTATCCTCACCAGTTACCCACCGGCGTACAGCTTGACATCAGCGTGGCGCTGATTGGCTAATCGCTAGACCCCCGGCGTTCATTGGTCCGTCCATTGTTTGGACGAGATAAATCGCAAATTCATTGCAGTATGCCAGACCAGAGATGCAAGCCTACTCAGTTGAGTGGGCGGGGTCTATGGTCTGGAACCAGGCTTCCCATTACTGTAAGAATTAATCTGATTATACACAACAACTTTTACAGGTTTTCTATGACTATGTGAAGCCTGTATTAAGGTGGTGTAACCTCCACTGTCTGTAGAAATACTGCGTTACAAGTTAAAATCCTGTATTCAGAAGTAGTCATTCTTACTTAAGTAAAAGTAAAGAAGTTTTGGCATCAGAATATACTTCAAGTACAAAATGTAAAACATGCAGAATCTTAGAGCCTGATATTATTTTATTGGGGTGTAGTTACTGATGCATTAATGTGTTTATCACTTTAGTGTTGCAGCTTATTTTAATGAATTCACACAGCAGAGTAGTTTAATCTATAATAATTTCCTTCTGAGATGTGGTGCAGTAGAAGTATATGGTAGGAAAAAAACACAGTTAAAGATTAGTTATGAATAATAAAATGACTTTGTTTTCAGTTTAAGAGCTTTTGTAAAGTACTAACTTTATAATCTGAAATGAAACTGTGATTTCTGCAGTCGGATATCAAAGAAAGCAGCAGAGTGAGGAAGAGGAGGAGGGATCATCATGAAGAGAGCCAAGAAAGGTGGAGGTAAAGGTGGAGGGAAGACGGAGGAGGAGCGGCTGTTGTTGCTGCAGCAGAGAGCTCAGGCTGAGGAGGAGATGACGAGGAAGAAGGAGGAGATCCTCACACTGTTCCTGAAGGTCCGTCTCACTTATATTCTCCTTCAGCTCTTCCTTAAAGTAAACTTTACATTTTTAAACAGGATTAATGTAACTGTGATGGATAAAATTCTGACCTTTCAAATTTCTTCAGTTCTCTGTGGTCCAAGAAAATGTTCACCCAAAAAGAGAAATAGATGTGTATGTTGTATGTGTGACGGAGCACTGAACACGTTGATGTGTCGTCTGTGTGAAATCAGGACAAGCTGCAGAAGGAGGAGAGGAACACGGCTGTGAACCTGCTGAAGATCTGTGAAAGCTGGAGGTCGATCCTCCGTCAGAGCCGAGCCGCCGAGGGGCACAGAGACTCTGTGGTGCACAGCCAGACCCATGAGAGGCGGCTGGACCTGGTGGTCAGCGTCGTCGAGGTGAACCCACCTGCTCCACATCCTGTTTTGTTTTGTTATGTTTTAAACAGAACTTATTTTCTTAATTTGTTCAAAACCCAAAGCAAAACATCAACGTGACATTTGCTGTGTGAATAAAAAAATCAGGTAAACAATAGCAGCACAAGACAGGTAACAGCTACATTAAAAAAGAAAAGCAGGAGCACATATGAGCACGTTACAAACAGTAACCGACAATCCTGCATCGTAAACCTCGAAGGTTAAAGGTCCAATGTGTAGAACATAGTGACCTCTAGTGGTGAGGTTGCAAAACTGAAACTTCTCCTGTGCGCAAAGCGTGTTGAAGAACTATGGTGGCCAACGCAAAAACACAAATGTCCCTATCTAGAGCCAGTGTTTGGTTTGTCCTCTCTGGGCTGCTGTAAAAACAACATGGCGGACTCCTTGGAAGAGGACTTGCTCACTCCGTATATATATATACATACATATACATGTA